GATAAATCATACATAATGCGTAAATATGAATTCGCTACAGTTATACATTTACCACTTTTACATGAACTGCGAATTACTTGGGATACAGCTATTGCGCTGAGGTCACGGCGGGATAACACTCATACGAATATGAGGTTGAAATCAATTGCCAGGTCACTCGTCGTTTGTGTTGGATTTATGTGACCAATCCATCTCCATTTGTCTTTATGCTCTCTTGTCTTCTCTTTCATTCAAATTCTGTAGGTATCTCTTTTGCTAGAGTTTTGAGGCTTCCTTGGGAACTACTGATGAGTGGCACCAAGGAAGCTGCACTCCCGGTATAGTTCTTGGCCCCGAAACCGGATAATGTTAATTTGAAAACAAAACATTGTAGTGAACTCCTTGGATGTCTTTATTGGTTTACCGCTAAACTCTCACATTTTTCATTATAGACTCATTAAAGATGTTGTAGGTTGCATAATTAAAGGCAGCGTCCAGGCAGATCTGGACCTATGGGGATACGTGGAAAGTACTTTTGGGGCCCTAATTAAGGCACTGTTCAAGCGGCAGCGCAAGTAGTGCTCTAACGGCTGAGATATTCCCCTCAAAACTGGACCCCGCAATCGTATTCGCATGGATTCATGGCAGTTTCGCGCCAGGATCCACGCTTTGCGCCATGAATCCATGCGCGGTACGATCGCGGGGTCCAGTTTCGAGGGGAATACCTCAGCCGTTAGAGCACTACCTAAGCTGCTGGTTTTACAGTGGCTTAGTTAGGGCCCCAAAATTACTATCCACGTGAGAGCCCCATGTGTCCAGACTTGCCTGGACGCTGCCTTTAACACGTTTCGGACCGTGGAATCGCGCGCAGCGCAAAATGCTATGCTCTCAGCCTTGACCAACAAAGGGACCTTATTTTGTAGAATGTGAGCTATATGTGTAATTAGCATGCCAATTAAGCTTCTTATCCAAAGTTCTGATTGAACTCGAAGTGTTTAAATTTTGTCGCTTGAGAGGAACTTCTGGCTTTTTTGAAAGATAGGAACAACAGTTTTTAATAGTAATCAAAAGTATCTATGTTGTACACGTTACACAGCATTATTGAAACTACGGTTTTTTTCTTTGAAATTAAAGCAAAGGAAAGTTGCGACGTCGCAGGTGTCGTTCGCATTGCTGCACTTCGTTGCAACTGTTGTTCGATTTGTACTCATATCTCCTAAACAAATATCGGGGCATCTACAAAGTCGTTTGAAAAGTAAGAGCTAAGCCCTTTGACTTGATAACCCTGGACTTGAAGAAAACCTCCTGTAAACGTCAAAAAGATGTTTCGAAGCACCGTGCTGCACCATGTGCAGCACCGGTTCGAAAGGTGTTATAGGGGCCTGCAGGATCGCGAGAGTCGGACGTGCGTACGGCCATTGCGCCGCGCACGTCTGACGTCACTAAGGTAGGTGCCAGACTTATCCACTTCAACCGGTTCGTTCGGTTCATAGCTCGAATCACTACACTATCTAACAGAAAAGGTGGTGAACCGAATGAACCTGTTGAACAGGATAAGTCTGGCACCTACCTGAGTCGTCGGACGCGCGTCTGACGCGCGCGGCGCAAAGGCCGCACGCACGTCCGACTCTCGCGATCCTGCAGGCCCCTATAAGAAAATGCTGATCTGGAAAAGTGGCAAGGAGTTCTCGATTTATATGGAAAATACAGATTTTCAGCTTAATGTTCTATTTCTTGTTTCATATTTTATTTGTGCTCCTGATTCGCTGTGCATCAAAAATATGCCATTATCTACTTCCCTTCCATCCATCCTTTTGTCCGATATCCCTTTCGAACCCCGAGAAAACGAGGATGAGAAAGAAAAAGTTGATCGATTTAAATTTGCATCAAAACGGTAGGAAGTGGTAAGAAGCTTGAACTAGAGTCAGCTAGACTTATTTGCTTGAGGCATAGCTTAATATACTAGGTTGGCCGGAAAGCCTTTTTTTAAGAACTATGAAACCGCGCATAATAAAGATTATAATAGGACATGCATTCAATGCAGCTTTTCCTTGCCTTTGTGATAGTCACATGTTCGAATCATAATCTTTTGAATGCTTCTGTAAAACTTTCAAAATTTTTCCCCCTTTATTTCTATCTGCTCGAAGTTCGGCTTCTAGAATTTATTTTAGGGGTTCGAAAGGGAGTAGGATGATTCAAATAGAGCAAGTTGCGAACTTCACAGTAGTGGTTTATTACCCAATCTTTAACAAAATTATCTCTTTGGAAATCTCGACTTGATAAAATTATGAAACACGCACTCCAGTAAAAACATGGAAGCTTTCAAAACTTTTGCGATTCAAAGCGATTGTTGGTAAACATCAATGCAACTAATCAAGTTTGATTTGCTTCAAAAATCACCTTTTTATTCGATACTCTTGTGCGCTCTAAGTGCACAGGAGTGTCAGCTGGAAGTCATCAAAAGCTTCATACACTTGACCTATGTGATCCAAAGTGGCGTAATGAGCTTAAAGTTTACTTTAAATAGCAACAGTCAGCGTTTTTCAAGATTTTAGAATAGAATTTTTAGAATTAGGGTAAATCTGGCGTCAAGGTAAACTGCTCAAAAAAGACTGCACAGACCAAAGCAGAGACAAAGCTGTCAAAAAGAAGATATAAATCTCAATCAAATGATACCTATGTCGTTCGTTGACCTATCTTATATATAAAGTTGAATGTCTGTATGTCTGTCTGTAAGTAGACTATGACACGCTCCCTGCCCCGAAGTGTATGTGTGCAAAGTTTGGTCCCGGGCGGAGCCGGGTTTGCCATCTAGTATTCTATAAGTTTAGGTGACCGATCATCAATAAAACCGACAACTTTCGGGGCAATCTGATATATGTGAGACCCTGGCTTCCACCATTTTTCTCACGCTTTATGAACTTATCATTTTTTTTGATGCGTGAAGCTAAAATCCCGATTCTTAGCTGTGTACAAAGTGGATCCTATAGCGACTTCTTAAGGAGGCGTCGTAGCCATCCGTACTCCAAGGCCCGTATGCGCGTACATCTCCGCGGGGAGGGGATGTGCGTTTTACCATTGAAATGATCCCCGCTGGGGATCCCCTCCCCTCCCCACGCGAACCCCCGTATGCACAAAGACAATATCGGACAAGGGAACCCCTATGGGGAGGGGAAGTGAATCCCCTTATGCATAAGAGGGGATCAAGCGGGAAGATCACCTTGTTTCCAAATTTTCTATGAAAAACCCTTTCTTATTTTCATCTTTTGACTGCAACTCATCTTCATCTCCTCAATTTTAATAATTTAGGGTTGCGGAATGCGCGTATGCAGTGACTGCGCTCGGCGCACCAAAAATGATTTTTTCTACTCCCACGATGTTCCTGCTTTCTTGAATGCTGCCCACTTTCGCTCATGCTGCCCCATTTCAGCGTAAAAATGTTGAACTACAGAAGTCAAGGTGTCTCTGCACGGGAAAGGGTAGAAGACGTTATGCTGCGGAAAAGGGGGGGGGGTGCCGCGCGGACACTCGAAGCAGTATTTTAACACATAACGGAAGCTGTAAATCGTACCAGCTGTCCATAAAGGCTGCAGCTATCACGATACATCGTCCGTTACCTCAAGGGAATGATTCCCAGCGGTCATCCCTGCTATGCACGAGGGGAACACTGGGGAGGGGATCACTCCCCGGAAATCTCTATTCAGAAATAGCTTAATCTGCTAATTTTCTTGGTTTTTTCGAAGCAATTCATGTTGGGATAAGAAGATAAGGGCAACGTAACATATGATATTATAGTTACAATGTGTTCGGGTAGCCTACATGGATAAAACTATCTTGTCATATGAAAACTGCGAACATCTCGGAAATGACCAAAAACTCCTCCAGACGTTCGAAATTGGCAGATAATTGCTCGAATCTCTTTGCGAGAACAGAAAATAGAAGAGGAAGATAAAATTGCAAGCTACAAGTCACTGGGAGAGGAACCCGGCTTTGAAAGAAAAGTTTTCATCAAATTAAACGAAATGCTTTGTAATAACTGATTAGAACCAGAATATTCGCTACTTTGGCATGACTTACACCGTTGAACCCCTACTTCGCTGTAGGGGATGTCGATCCCCTCCCCTGCGTTGTTGAGTTACATTCGTGCATACGGGGAAGGGAAGGGATGCCCACTGGGCGTTCGATCAATACCTCCAAAACCAAATGCTGCTAAATCTGAGGCAGCGAAACAGTACCGCGAACTCTCAAACGCTGGAAACTACGGAAACTACAAAATGCTGCGAAGCACATCGCCACAACATAATTGCAAGTAATTCTTAACATGAACTGCGAAATACACACACCTACTTCAAAAGTCAACATCATTACTATTGACAGCACGTAGCCAGTATAACGAAGCTTTAGAATAGTAATAATACGGAGATCAAAAGAGCGAAGGAGGGAGAGATAAATGGGAAGGGTGGAAGGAGAAGAGTGAGAAACAGACAAATGCACGCGAATGCTTTTTCTGTACATTTCGTTCCAAAGGCCATTCTAGTATACACAAGATTGATCAAAAATAACTTTCTCGGGAGTTCTTGTAGTAGCCGTGAGGTAGAAGCGACTACCGCAGGCACACCATCCCCGCTGTAAGTGCAGGGGAGGGGATCGCTCCCCTCCCCTCTGTCATAGCGGGGTTCAGTGGAGGGGATCGTTCCCCTGGGGATCCAGCTTCCCTCCCCTCCCCAGCGGGGATGCACGTGCATACGGGCCCAAATCAAGATTAGATCGATTCTAGATATAATCTGGAACGGTACTACGACGCATCCCTTAGTTATTATCAACATGACTGAGTCTGGTGACAGTGTGTAATTTCTATACAATACGATCAGAACAACTGCACGCAAAACTAACACATATATGAAGTGGGACATAAACAGAACACATATATACTAGAAGTTCCTTCTTGTACCAAATCCCACTAGTATACGGATGAGGTAACGGGAAAGATACTGAATCTGGAAGCATGAATGCAAGTTTCTTCAAAATTTAGCCGTGGCTTCTCGAGCTCCGTTCAGTAATGCTCTCTCCTGAGCACTGTTATCCATGGAGAAGCAGAGTAGAAATAGATACATCGTAGGAGCGGAGACGGTTGCGAGAAAGAACAGCGCCAGTAAGTGGTCCATCCTTCGAGATACCTTAATTTTCGTAGTTCAGCGCTAATTCCAATCCAAGCTATGCAAGAAGAACACGTATAGGTATTGAATCAGCTAGCATCGACCCCGCCCTGGTAGGCCTTGCGTTGATGCTCTTCTTGCGACGTACCTCAAACGCAGCGTCCACCCAAAATCTATTCATTCATAATTACTACTCATCCTCTAGCAGGCCCCAAAAGTAGACCAACAGTGTTGGTTCAGTCCCCTTCCCTAATGTTACCTGCAAAAAGAAGATAACGGATCTGGACCCTCTTTGCGCTTCACTCCCTTTTTTGCGCTACACCCACTCACGGGCCCTATGACGTATTCTGACATGGCAAGCAACGTCGAGACGCATAGTCAGGGCCCGGCACGAGGTAGGCAAATGACAAGCTGGAAATCGTTTTTGGTGGAAGCAAGGGGGAAATCGTTTTTGCGGGGTCCGGGGCGGAGCCCCGGAAGAAGATTCCAAGTGCAAGCAAAAAAAGTCGAATCATGCTTATTACCCTATACATCTAAGTCATTGGGAAGTAGTTTTCATAAGTCCCAACGCACAGCAGAGTTCGCGCGCGCTACGCCGCGCCGCCGCCAATGGCCGCGTGCGCGACGTCGCATAAGCGATGCCGTTGAACAGCATGATTACATGATCAGTCCTCAATGCAGGCGTAACGATATAGCACCAAATTACGTAAGCGAACAAAAAGAGGCTAGTAGAAACAAAAATGAAATATTATGAGAAACTTATGTGAATGGGAGGTGTAATAAGCATTTTTTCCAAAAATTTTGCAAAAGTGGTAAATGAAGATTTGAATTCAAATGGCTCGTCTGCAGCGCACAGATGACCATACGGTATGAAACTTAGTAGGTACATGAACTCGGGCCTGCAGGGCTTAGCTTAGAAGTTTCATTGAAAAATTATGTAGCTGAAGGTTGTGTCACGCTTTTTTCTGAAAATTTCCCACTATCAAGAAAATGGGAAAATGGCTCGCTTGCAGCGCAGAGAAGGCGAAATCGCGCGAGACTTGGTGTGTATACGCGCAGTAGGAGTAAGGAACAATGTATGAAAATTATGAAAATCTTATGTGAATGAAGAGCATGCCCAACTATTTTCCAAATTAGGTGGGCAATTGCCCATCTAATGCCTACCTGAGGTAGGCAAAACTTTCAATTCACATAATATTTTCAAAATTTTTAGATAAATCTGTTGTACACCTAAAGTGTATTACATGGTGAGATTTTGGTTCCAAAACTCCTCCTCTTGTCTTCGTTAGAGCCCAAATCGCATAAGCAGCCTAGCTTTATGAGATAATAAGCTAGGCTGAAGCCCCAGTCAATCGATACGCGCGGGAACGGCGTCTCTCAGACCTATGACTGCGTTACTTTGATATTACTTCATTGCTTCATCATTTTTCTTGCTTATTCTTCTTTCTGTCTTCTATCTTGACACTGATGAGAAGTAATTAGAGGAATTTGACCATTTTGGGCGCTTTTAGGCGAAGTGTGGCCGGTGCTCTCGTTGCACAAGCACAAAGCTTCATTTTTGGGCTCGAGGGGGGGATTCGTAAAAAATATTGGGATCAAAGGGGAATTCGTTTTGGAAAACCCCGTTTGCCCACCTCATGCCGGGTCCTGCGCATAGTTTGTGATGTGGCACTGTTGCACACGTGAGCTTTCCTGTAGAACGGCGTGATTAGCGGAGGGGCATTCGTCCACGTCTGCCAGAATTGGGCTTTAGAAAAGGACAGTTTTGGAACTTTGTGGTAATTTGAACCTCACATCTAAAATCAGCGCCATGGAGAGGCCCGATAACAATGAGAATATGAGGACGAAATTCTGGGCGGACACTCTCTTTCACGCATAATAGAGTTTGCATGTGTTACACCGCATCGCTAGTTGCCTGCACGACGTCGCATGACCGATGCTGGTTGATACAGCCTACAGTGCCATTACGCTCCAGCTTCTCTGATTGCAACAAAATGGCTAATGAGAGGCACTAAACCATTGGCCCTATTTATCAACGAATCCCGAGGGTTGAACTTACCTCGGAGAGTAAGTTTAACCCCGGAAAGCGATTAACCTGTATTCACGAAGCACAGGATAGACTTAACCTTGAGGGTTAGATCTACGCTTGAGGGTAAAACTTACCCCTGAAAGCTGTTAATCCGTATTCGTCAACGACTCTGGGCGTAGAACCTACCCTTGAGGATAAAAATTACCCCATAGAGCGATTAACCTGTATTCATAAAGGTGATTTATCATTGTAAATTTAACCCTAGCATAAAGCAGGGTTAAATTTACCCCGACATTCTAAACAAACTTAAAGTGATCTCTTAATGCACAACTTCTCAACGATACTGTTTTGACTACAAACGCATGTTTCTAATCATTATTATCTCAAACTTCTGAGTTCTTTTTTCGTTTCGTCTAATCATACTACAAACTAGGATAAATTTTTTTGGTATTTTGTTCAGCTTCAACTTTATCTAGTTGAGCTACGATAGTTAATCATGTAACAGATCATTTAGAACTTGCTCGGGAGATGTCAGGACAAGTCGTTTTGCGTGTATTTGGTGCAGCGATGCGTATAGCAGACGCGTTTGCATGACGCGTTCAGGGTGGTCGCATTCCGCCGCCCAACCTCGAAAGGCAATTGGTCAAAAATAGAGTGTATGATCGAAGCTGCTTTACTCCTAGCTGTGTGGTTTGTCCACATGGAAAAGAAGGGGACTGCATGGCGGCAAGTGTGATGTACGTCATCAAATGTTATCATGTGGCGACCAGGACCCGGCACGCATTAGTTTCGAGCATTCTCGGAAACGAAGTCCCACATGACTTCGCAAAATTACATGATGTTCTCTTTGGTGTCAAAGTCAGTAGGAAAACTTTGTTCAATCAACACAACAAGACAAAAGGAAAAGCATATTTTGCGGTTGCTACAACAAAGAAGCAAAAGAATGTTTTGAGATATTTGGTCAAAGGCCCTCTTGGCGTTATGTATGTGGAAACCTCCTATTCAACCAAATCTATAACCTACAAAAATTTGGAGATGCAGTTTTCGCCGTATAATTTATAGGGCGTCCTGACACGCTGGTTGGTGGGTATGTTTGCGCGATTTTGGTCCAAAAAAGGGAAGGTAATGGGTTGATGCTCTCACCCTATGAAGGATTTTGGGCGTTCTAATCGTTCATATCAAAAAGGTCCAAAGCTTACTTGAACTTCGATATCTACAAACCAACAAATTCGGAGACGGGTATCACGAACATAGTTTTTGAAACTTTTTTGCATAATGTAGTCTGGATTAATAATGTATAAAGATAGCCCAAGTTTGGTGTCATATGATCGTTGCGCTGTGAACAAGCCATTTATTTGCTTGGATCTTGCATTCAAAATTCGCGCGTTGCGATAGAACACGTTCAAGAGTGAAACCTGACATGTTTGCCGGTTTCTTCGTTGCGCTCCGAACTCTGCAAAAACAATAACCCCTATGCTTTTTACCCCAAAACCGAAATTCATTTTGAGTCCAGACCATCTGCGTCATGCCCTGGCGAGCGTGCATAGGCGAACTATGCCGCATCATGCCGCATCAAGGAATACTTAGATGGTCTAAAGAAGTTGAAGGCAGCATACTGCTTGGTAGTCATCGGTTACAGCGTCGTGAGAATGCTGAAATCCAAAATGGGGCCTGGTTTGTCCTACGAATTCGAAGTCCTAGCCCCAGACTGTAGGTTTGAATCAGCGCAAAATCGAAAAATGGACCGAAAAGAGGAGTGCATGGTGATAACCAACGAGCTCGCGCCATATCAGATCCCTTGCGGGTTCTCAGTCTAGGTCAGGTCACCTTAATACTATAGACAGAGCGGAGGTATAGACTTTGCATAGTTGGTGGTCCTCTGCGTTTTCTAAATTTCGAGTAAGTGAGTATTGGTATCCGTGGCTTTGGTTCTGTTTTATGCTAGTTTTCTAATTTAAAGCCTTTTTGCTTTTTGATCTTAACTCTGAATGAAGAGATCCCTATCTATTCACTTTCTAGGCTCTGACGAAAGCGATAGCGCCGAAACGTCGACCGAAGTTAGCAAAGAAAAGTTACCATCTTGATCGTTTGCTCAACAACATACACACGGTACACATTGAGCACAGTCTTTCTCAACCGGTTTAGGCTGAATTTGGGATGACGCGCGCCACCCAACTCGTGTCAGATCTCTTCGTTCTCTTCTTCTAAATTTGTCTGGCAAATGGCCATCGCTGTACGCTCGCAAAGCCTCTAGCTAGGCGCGCGCGCCGCTCCGAAATGCTTCGTCTAAACCGATGAAACAGACTGTAGTTGTAGGAAAATTGGTACAACTCCTTCATCAAAAATGTTAAAAACTCACCGCACCCCACTGCTCCGCTATCATCACTCTCTTGGCATTGGCGGAGTTCTGAAGGTATTGATGTGTGACAATGTGATTTACTCATTAAATAGGAATATTCACCCCATTAGGAATTGAAGTAAATTGAGCTCGACGGATATACAAGTATCGTAGCAGCCACATTGGTGGTGGTAGTAATCGACTGGAAAATCCCTAAACAGCAACTGTTCAATTTGCGGAAAGTTGAGTACAGTCATTGTTTCTTTTGCATGTTTCTGTTCCTTGGTTGAAGTTCTAGTCGTCTGAGGGATTGTAATATTTATATAGTTGCGCTGAATGCTGTGCTCGGCAGTATGTAATCTGAGTCTTTTACACTCTAGGAACTGGCATGAACTTTCCATACGAATATCAGTTCACCGGCCGTTTGTGATGACCCTGCTTTGGACTTTCACAGTAGGAGTTATTTGCAATAGTTGTTGTTTGTCAATCGTTGTTTTGTACTATTTTACCAGTAATTATGGTGTTTTTACCCGTACCGGTCTGCTGCACTGCAGATGTCAGAAGTGGTGGTAAAGGGAATTAGGGAATGCCGCTGAGATGAGAAAGGCGTCTGGGTGAGTGCTGTGGTTGTGCCGCTAACATGCGTAAAGCTTGCCTCCATTATAAACACTGACAACAGTCGTACTAAGTATAGGTGATTCGTTGACCGCACGGACTGGACATCACTGCGGAGCACGCGCCGCTAGGTAAAACGTTGCCTCAGCACGAATGCGCCATTGTACAAGTCGTGCTCTCGCGACAATTCAGCCGTACCGCGCGTGGTCCGCAGCGTTTGAGCAGTCCGTGCGGTTAACGAATCGACGATATACAGTTTCGACTTGTTCGAAAAAGGCGTGCCCAAAACCTGCTTACTTTTGAATGTACTCTCATCACTGCAGACGTGATTGTAGTAGCCAACGTGACCATGACGATGTTGAAGTGAAAGTAGACAACTGAAACCAAATTCTTTCAACTTTAGAAATGCTCTTTCTTTTCGAACTAAAACACACTTAGCAAAGGAACTTCTTCTGAGCTATGTGGCACTTTCTCCGTCACTACAAGCGAAAGTACCGCCATACTGAGTATTGCTGTAACTCCCAACGTGAATCTTTCCTATAAATGAGTGAAATAATTTTCTTTCCTACAGCGAAGCGTAGAGATCCCGAAAAAGTGCACCCCCACTGCTTGATTCGTGGTAGCCTAGCCCCATTGCCTTGAAATTTTCCAGTTCCAGGCTTATCTAAGGACTGATTTCAATTTTATTTTCAATTTAGAACGGATCACGGATAGCTTGTTCGTCATATTGGGATAACGGTGGCAAGTACGGATAGTTACGCCTTTTAAAGGCAGCTTCCGGCCAGATACGAAAACGTAAGTATAGATTAGCTCACCCTGATACTCGCGTCCAAGTACCAGTGCACCAATTTGCTTCTGAAGCGAAAAGCCGCTCTAAAAGTGGCAATCGGAACTGTCCCGGAGACTGGGGCAAGTTGGTTTGATAAAGAGGGCGCATATCGCATAGTCAAGAGAGAATCTTGTAACAACCCTGCGTCTTTACCTTTGCGGCAGACATCCAATTTGAAAATCAAAGCTCCTGGATAATAGCTTGTTTTCGACATTTTCATGCTCTCTAAACTGCATGGAATCAGCGAGAAGGGCAAGCCTAGGCAAGCAAGAAAGTTTCATCCGGAATGTTGCCCGGACGCTGCTTCTAAAAACGTCTTTCCTTCAAAAGACCGGGAAAGCTAAAACAACACTACGATACGGTTTAAATTTATTTGAGCTCAACCAAGGTGGTATAAAAAATTAATAAAATGGCTTACGCGTTGCGGTGATGTATCGCCTTCTTTAGAGGGCTGTAATAAAACTTTACGCCACTGTCTACTTATCCTAAGATAGCGGGACTGATTGAACGGACGTCCTCCTCCACTGTCTATTTATAGTACCCAAGACGCTGATAAGCTGCAAGATCATATCATCGCTATTCATTTGGGGGAGATCGGGCGGAGATGTAAAGAGCTTCAAGGGTTTTACGCGCTAGAACTTCAAATCTTGCAATTGATGCGGCAACTTCTACAATGGAGTTTTGATGACATTCTACACGATGAGCCCCAGTAGAGATTTTAGACTCTTGCAAACCATCTGGATGTTCATTGACACGAGAATTAGTGGACGTCCTGTTTCGTCTATTGAAGTAGCCCCGCAAGCATTGCATGTTATTTTTTAGACAAGCCGGATATCATACAATCTCCTTCTTTACTATATGGACAAATTGGGCAAGCACTAGTCATGCAGAGATGATCATAGGAGTGATTGTGCACTAATTGTTGCTTCAGGTTTGCTGGAGTATTTCTACCACCCTTACCATATCTTGTAATCCGGCTTGAACTAAGCTTTTGCGAACCTCCCGACTTATTCTATCTGAAATGAAGGGTAGACAGAGCGAAATTTATTGATCCTCGAAACTTGCCCGTCTTGCAGCAGAACGTTGAAATTTATGAACCTTTGTAAAAGGTACCCATTATAGTTGAAACGACCGAAAAAATTCGTCGAGCGAATAAATATCGAATAATCGGCTTTTGAAAAATGTTCAAACGAACGAATATTAATCGATCTGTGATTTTCAGATTATTCGAATTCGAGTATTCAAATAATGCTGCATTTCAAAATTTGAATGAACGAATCGAATCTCGGATACTCGACCATTCGAATAATCGAATAATTACATATGTTCGAATATTCGAATAATCATACCTGTTCGAAATTTCGACTATTCGAATAATTCGTATAATCCAGTGGCTAAACATTGTTGATTTTTTCTTTGTTGCAGTTTTCGGGGAAAAAACTAGTCCTGTATTTGATCTAGGTTTGTAGCTGATAATTATATGCAGCAAGTGGTCAGGATGACTGGACTATTGTCGTTTTGGTCAGGGTTTTACCTAAGAAACAGAGAAGAATCTTATATATAAAGCTGAATGTCTGTCTGTATGTCTGTCTGTACGTATGTGCGGAATAGAAATTTTTATTTCTGAACCGATTTGGACTAAACTTGGCACACATATACTTCGGGGCAGGGAGCGTGTCATAGGCTACTTTTCGTTATCGATCGATATCGATTTTATCGATTTTTTGCAAAATTTGAGCTACAGGGCTGGGAGTTGGCACAGGGGGGTAATCAAGCATGCTGATTACAAATATATTATTGACAGGCCCGGGCGGAGCCGGGTTTGCCAACTAGTTTTATTTAACACTAGCTGGCTTACCCGGCTCCGCCGTATGTTCCGAATAGAAAATTCCATTTCTCAACCGATCCGGACCAAACTTGGCACACATACCCTTCGGGCCCCGGCGGGTGTCACAGTCCACTTTTCGTTATCGATCGATGTCGATTTTATCGATTTTTTGCAAAATTTGAGCTACGGGGCTGGGAGTTGGCAGAGGGGTGTAATCGAGCATGCTGATTACGTTCGTGATGGCCAGCATTGCGCGAGTTCTAATTCTAGCACTGGGTAGTGGCGTACCCAGGATTTCCGCTCGGGGGGCCGCGACAAAACTTTTTTCGGAAGAAGATGCGTGGCGTCAGCCACTCACTCCGAAAAATTTTTTGGGATACTTTCCAAAATTTTTGGAAAGCATCCCAGCCACGCCCCCGAAAAAAAATTTTTATAAGACTAATATGAATTTTTAAAAATTTTTAAAAATTATTTTAATTATTCACAAGTAAAAGTAGGTTGCTTACTTGTCGGAAATAATCAGTCGCTGAGTTCCACAGTTTCTGTTGTAAGAATGAATTTTCAAAGTTAAATTTCCAATTTACAAAATTGCTTTGGTCTTGGGTTGTACTTTTGTTGTAACAGATCTTCCACATTTTTTACTCAGTTTCAAAACAATTATTGTTTTCTACAGGCTTACTCGAAGTATTCTCCCTCTATGGTTTTCAACACTTTACTCTAGTTCTTTTTCACGCCTCTGACTATAAAGGCAGCCGATTTGAGTATGGTGACTGATACATATAGGCTGCGGCCACAAGTCATGCTGTTTAGGTCCTCACAATCGCCTTACTCCGGCCTTGCGCTGCGTTAACTATCTTTCAGGTATTCTGACATGTGGGCGGTGATGCTGGCAGGCAAGTGAAGATTACGTGATGAAGGAATGAATGTTGCCAATATGTGCTGTCTTAAAGGGCTGCTGGTCTTTCAAATGCTTATGCAAGCTGTTTGAGGACCAGTGGTCCCTTAAAGGCAGCGGCTCTGCAAAATGACAACTTTCGCATATTCATCGTTCTGGATTCCCCTGGACGAGCTAAGTCCAATACTGTGCTTTTCAGCTTCAAAAGATATCAAAAACCCGCTTTTTCAGAGGTGAAAAGTGCTATTTGGTCGGACCGCGTATCCTGCTCTCTAGAGCGCGATCGGCTCGTGAGTGGAGACACTGTACCTACCGTAATCACGAGTCAATCGCGCTCTAGAGGACAGGCATACGCCGTCAGCCCAAATAACACTTTGCCCTTCTGAAAAAACGGGTTGTTGATATGTTTTGTAGCTGCAAAGCACAGTCTTGGACTTAGCTCATCCAGGGGAACCGAGGACGATGAATATCCCAAATTTGTCATTCTGCCGAGCCGCTGCCTTTAAAGCCGCGCCTAATGACGGCTTTGCTTCTTCACTCAGCATGGAGGTAATGCACATGATATCGCATCTCAGCTGCTGCAAACGCGATTTCCGAAGATAGTTCATCACTAGAAAAGAATCGTGCATAAGACTTGTCTTCAATATGCTCTGGCGTGATTCGCGATTACCTCAAAAAAAAAGAACCTCACTAGCCATTCTGTCGTATGATCATTCATTTGTACGACTGAGCGATCGGGACACACTTGCACCCAATGCAGAACAGCTGAAGTTTTCTATGGACATCGAATGTTTGAAAGAATGTTCGTTAATCTTTGAATATTCAAATCTGCACTTCTTCCACGCCCTCGAGTATTCGAATATTCGAATGACTGTTCTCCACAATGTTTCGATGTACAAATATTCAAGTTATTTTTTGCAAACCTTCGAACGAACGAATATTCGAATAAAGGCCTTTTTTCATATATTCGACCACTCGATTATATCCAGTGAATGGAATTCCTCGAATATTCGGCTATTCGAATGTTCGAATAGTCGAATATTTCGATAAGTTATTCGAATACGAAGATTCGGTTCGAACTACAGGGAGGCCGATAAGTATGAGCGCTACAACATGTATTATATCTTTTTTCTGAAACAATCTATCATGGCGGCTAATATACTTGTAGCTTACGGACAGTCTTTATATTAAGATAAGTGAAAATCACGCGAACTAAAGTCTTCTGATGCAAACGGGACTCCTAAGCCTACTTTCTGTTGAGAGGCGCTGCTGCGCGTTCAGTTAACACCATATTTATAGTACCGTGTCTTATTTTGGAGAGGAGGATTTTTTGCTGTACAGCACGATGCTATTCCTCGGACTGTGCTCTACAAAAACTCAGGTCTTAAAATCTATTCGATTAATAATCGGGTTATTTGGGTAGGGGACTATATGTCGCCGAAAAAGGGCGGTCCCCGCGGTCATTTGCGACAAATACGCATCCTTGTACATGCGCGGACATGCGTTCCTGCAGGGAATCCGCGCGGGACTCTTCCAAATTCGGCGACATATAATCCTCCACCCGGGTTATTTAAACGAATTTGCATTGGGTACATTCTTCAAGTAGCGTTTTTGACGCATCAATTTCAAAATAAGTTGCTGAAGTCTGTATGCATGCGCAGAAGTCCATTCTTGCAGCAGGAGTAACACACTAAGATGCCTGTGTTTTTGGCATGCAAAAATAGTCTTACAGAATTTTGTTTGCTATGAAAAATCATTGAACGAAAAATGTGACGTCCATATTTTTCGGCCACCCTGTATAGTACCCATTACTACTTACTACATTGTCCGCCCTTTTTTGAAAAATATGGGAGAAGCAGGGTGTCCATTTGATTTCTCGTGTCAAAGAACATATAGATGGTTTGCAAAAGTCCAAAATCCCCACTCCACTTGTGGCTCGTTGTGTAGAAAGACATTAAAACACCATCATAGAAGTTGCCGCAACAATCCTAGTGCAAGAATCTGAAGTCTAGCGCGTAAAACTCATGAAACCTTCTACATCTTGCCCGTTTTCCCCCAAATGAATAAACATGATAAGTGATCTTACAGCTTATAAGCGTCTTGGTTACTATAAATGGACAGCGGAGAAGGGTCAGGTCATTTTATTCATTTCCGCTATCTTAGAATAGTGCGGCCGATGTGAGTCTTTGACTGTCGCGTGAAGTTTTATTAGAGCGCGCTAAAGAAGACGCCGAAACGCGTAAGCCGTTTTATTAATTTCTATACCACCTTGGTTAAGCATAAATAGATTTTAATAGTATTCATATTTGATGCCAAGGTCAATTAACAGTGGGGTTAAAGCATATCCGCCGACGACTGCCCCGACTCGTGCAATTACACCCCCGTCCGTTGGGCGTGTCTTTTTGAAGCCTTTCCGGAGCCTTTCCAGCTTGACAGTACTCTGCAGCGCGCGGGGACTTGGTAGCTTGCAGCACCCTGTCCTTTGACCCCTTTCGCTTGCTAAGCATTTCATGCTGTTTTTCTTCCTCATTTTTCATTTCAGGCAACTACTCGTCCTAGCGTCTATGTGAGACCGCGGGCAAAGTAGAAGAAAGAATGAGCTTTCCTAGTAGCTGCAGTTGTGGATATCATGGCTATGATTGGGATTGCACGTCTTTTTCAATGTTTTATAATAATTTGACATGTTTCCGGGAACAGGTAGTTCACCACTTAAGGTAGTTACTTTCAGCACTCCTATATCAGGGAGGGACACCATGTAGGAGTGCCGAAATGAGCATTCGAGTGCTTTTATTTAAAGAATATGCATGGTAGTCACCGCTGCTTATGAGCAAGGCATACCTTTTACCTAACGTCGGCTACGACACTCCGGCCGAGGAGAAATTGTGGCCGTGGAAAAGGTTTAGATTTTGAAAATGAATGTTTAGTAGGTAAAAGGGGAGGGGAATCAAGAAATATGCCTGAACTAATTTTTTCCTCGCCTTTCAGTATTCGTCAAAGTGGAACGTAGGATATTCGCATCGAGAGAATTTACAAGAAAGAGAAAACGACTGACTGTCTAAAATATGAGAACTAAGGAGAAAAACCATGAGAAATGCTTGAAACAACAAAAGAGGTTAAAGGACAGAGCTGCTGCGAGCTACCAAGTCTCCGCACACTGCAGCGTACTGTCAAGCTGGAAGGGCTCCAAAAGGCACGTTTACGGTGGTGTATTTGCACGAGTCGGGGCAGTCTCAACGGATATCCTTTTGTCGATTATCAACCACTACGATAGTCAAAGTCTGAGTGACTGACTTTGACTATCGTAGAATGAAGGAGTTTGCATTGTCATAACTACTCTTTATGTTTAACTAGGTGGCTTACCCGGCTCCGCCCGGCCCTGTCAAAACACTATGATAAAGCTCCCACCCCTATCCCTGTACAACCTTCCGCCCACGTCTACATAGCAACTCCAACTCCAACACATTCTCGCTGTGTTAGTTATCAGCACGCCCACTTATCCCTCTGCCAATCCTAGCCCCGTGGGTGAACTCTGCAAAAAAAATCGACAAAAATCGATAAAATCGATGTTGATCGATGGCGAAAAGTAGCCTATGACACCTGCCGGGGCCCGAAGTGTATGTGTGCCAAGTTTGGTCCGGATCGGTTCAGAAATGGAATTTTCTATTCGGAACATACGTACAGACAGACATACAGACATACAAACAGACATTCAGCTTTATACATAAGATAGTGGTTTCGTTAATTCAAAAAATCCAATCGCACCACCTTAGCACTGAGCCTTCGCAGATTCGCGGAAAGCATACTACAGTGATGGCCATAGCTAGAACCACCCTAGAAAATCACGCCAATTTGCCTTGTCTTGGATGAAATTGTCTGAAAAACCATCATTCTGTGTATAAACCAACGCCATATCATTGTCCAGAATGGCTCCCAAGTCCAATGATTTTGTTCGGGGAAAGATGGAATTTTAAATGTGTTCTAAAGGCTGGCCGTAGCTATAAGGCCACCTCTTACTTTCAAGCAATGCTACATTCTTATACCTAGAATTTATTGTATAGTTGCAACTTTGAATGGGAGATATTAGGTCGTTCCGAAAGTAATGTCGCTTTTTTCAAACGTATGCCACATCTCGTGGATCAAAGATGTGTAAGAGATTCTGGTAGCATTTGGTGCAGCATTTCATTCTCTTTCTAATGGTTATGAAATTGTTGCAATACAATCAATGAGCTTCCAAAAAAGAGTCAAGTGCGACCTATGCTTTTTAAGATGGCCAAGTTTCACAATTTTTCTAAAATTTTATAACAAACCTCAGAAGGAGTGCAATTAATGGATGGATGGGGCAAACCCTACAGGAAACAGCACAACTTTTTTCTACTTTTCAGAGCTCGATATAATTTTTGTACAGTTTTTTTGATGGAACCACCAAATTTTAGCAGGCTTGTCTCAGACACAAGTGCATCAAACGCCAACAAGTCTCCGAATTTTGAAACTAACAAAGATGGATTATGGTTTGGCAACAATTTTACAAACCAAACGAGCATTCACAGCTTCGGTTTAGCAACTTTCGAAAATTTCGGGTACACCTTGGGGTGCCTTGGAAAAGTTGAATTATGATGATTTTATCCCGGAAAATTTGATGAATCGGAAACAATAAACGACCGCTGGAAAGAGGAGAAAAAGCTGCATCGAATGACACCTGAGTCGCTTGCCGATTGTTGTTCTGTGACGTTTGACTTGACTAAATATGGAATTTGATGGCATTGAGAAATTGATTGTAGAAACTCTGAGAGGCAAGCTAAGGAAAAGAAAAAATTACTCTGAGTTCTATAGTGTTTGCTCTATCTACCTGCCACTTGTACTCTTTCGGAGATTAGGTACAAAAACTTAGAAAAATGGCCGAACTTGACCATGGCAAAAAGCATGAGTCGCAGATTTTGGTAATTTTTCGAGAGCTCATTGAACATTATGCAGTGAAGTTAGAAGCATTAGAAAGAGGATGAAATGCTGCATCGAATGCTCCTAAGATCTCTTGCAGATGTTGATTCCACGAATAGTGGGGTTCATTCGAAAAAAGCGACATTACTTTCGGAACGACCTAATATTTACTACACCTTGGAGTTGTCGCCTCTTGAAAGTTTTATCTTATATATAGAGCTGAATGTCTGTTTGTCTGTATGTCTGTCTGTATGTATGTCTGTACGTATGTTCCGAATAGAAAATTCCATTTCTGAACCGATCGGGACCAAACTTGGCACACATACACTTCGGGCCCCGGCGGGTGTCACAGGCTACTTTTCGTCATCGATCGATATCGATTTTATCGATTTTTTGCAAAATTTGAGCTAGGGGGCTGGGAGTTGGCACAGGGGGGTAATCGAGCATGCTGATCACCCCCACGGGGGTGATCAGCATGCTCGATTACACCCCCCTGCCAAATTCCAGCCCCCTAGCTCAAATTTTGCAAAAAATCGATAAAATTGACATCGATCGATAACGAAAAGTGGACTGTGACACCCGCCGGGGCCCGAAGTGTATGTGTGCCAAGTTTGGTCCGGATCGGTTAAGAAATGGAATTTTCTATTCGGAACATACGGCGGAGCCGGGTAAGCCAGCTAGTACTGCATATTTTTTGCTCCAAACTGCATAAAAAGTCACATTATTTCGAAAACTGCTTTTTCACCAGGTTTTTGACAACATTTGCAACTAGCTGAACTTTGCCATGATTGGAATATTCCGTATAACTGTGTTATGAAGTCCCTAAAATAACCCATGTGAAAAGGTTTGTTCCTTCCACTTGATATGAGTTGAACAGCCTTTCGATAAGACCATGGAACCTTCAAAAAAATTGAAATTGCATTTTAGAACATTATTTATTGTTGTTTAGTATTATCATTCTTGTTCGCATTTTAAACACTGGGTTCAACTAGGTCAAGAGTTTTGTTACCTGTCGTTCATGTTTTGTAGAAAATCTCGCAAATAGTCCTCCTACTGAAAGCATACATATGATGTAGCTTGGCAGTACGAGGCTGACTAGATAGTAGAATGGTTTCCTGGAAATGGATACAATGTATTTCGCTTCGCTCACGACTGTTCCCTCATGATCATAGTGGTCCTGAGTGATCCCGACCTCCTAAATTTCGTACTCTGTACAGGCGAAAGTTGCAATTCAGAATCCGCTGTGCGAGCTTACCTGTAGTGCCCACTCTTCATTTGCAGCATAGTGTTGCAAAAATGGCTTGCTGCTGGCATTTAGCAAAATTTTTTCCTCTCCGTAACCCCATGATGCTATCTAAATCGCCAAAACAAACATTGCCTTGAGTTAGCTTTGCTGGGTTTTTTATCCCTTTATAATCACACTAGTTCGTAAACATGCACAACCCAACGGAAGCATAGCAAAGTTGGCAAAACTTACTCGGAGATCGCATTTTTGCGTATCAAAAGGGAACTTCGCCACGTCTGAAATGTTTCTTGCTCTTTTCTCTCTTCACAGTTGGCCATACAATATATGCAAAGACGTATTTAACTTACTTATCCTACACATTACTGAGTAGATGGCAGGATATGAAAATGTGACTCGTCCATTGAACTCGATACGAACTGGAGAACGTACGGATTGTAGAAGCTCTTGATGATTCAGCCTTGATAAGGGTACATTTCCTTTATTTCTTTGAGAAGACTATTGGGTTGCATCCACAAGAATACCAACATGTTGAACACTATAATGTCTGGAATCCATATCGAATCCTCTGGTAACCAAGTAAAACGAAGGCCAGAAAAGTTGGTTGGATCCCAGCTGAGTGTTGGATCATCCCATTGCTAAAGAAAGTACCGTTAATTTTTGCATTTCTTCATAATCAAACTCACTTCAACAACGTAGACTAAGACTCGTATGACCTGTCTTACTTCGTCTATGCTAATTATATGAACGAGTTCCATCTCGTGCGTTATGTTCACTACACCGTCAGGCGGTGCAGATCTAGGACAAGAATATTACAGATCTTTCAGCACAGGAAATGCACTGCATAATTTGGTAATTTACAAGAAGAATGTTGAGAAGCAAGTCATTGTCGTGTTTTGCAAGTTTGATATGTATGTGCTGAGGATACAAATAGATACAGCAAGGGCAGTGGCGTACCGAGAGGGGGAGGGGCGGGGGGGGGGGGCGCGCGCCCCCCCCCCCCCCCCCGAGAATGGGTCGCGAAATTTTTGAAAGTTACTTATATGGGTTATAAAAATGTGTAAGTGACTTGTTTATTTTTGTAAATAATTAAAATAATTTTTAAAAATTCAAATTAGGCTTGTAAAAAAATTTTTTCCGGGGGCGTGGCTGGCGCCACGCCCCCTTTTTCCAGATTTTAGGGGTCGGGGACCCGAAAAAATTTTGGGAAGCACCCCCAAAATTTTTTCGGAGTGCGTGGCTAACGTGGCACCTCCTTTAGAAAATTTTTTTGTCGCGCCCCCCCCCCCCGAGCCGAAATCCTGGGTACGCCACTGAGCAAGGGTAATACTTTATAATAGTACTAGCTGGCTTACCCGGCTCCGCCCGGCTCAAATGCTTGAATAGAGTTTTATTCTAGGTTTGAAAAATACGAGTCAGTTCATGAAACGAGCCCCTATAAAACTGCTAAAGAACTAAGTTGTTTTCTTGATAGGACTGTGTGTTAGAAACGTGACTCTGAATAGAGTCTAACTAAGACCAAGATACAAATAAAAACAACATGATTACTCCAGTTAATCACACTTAGCAAACTTTGGTAAGGGACGTGCTTTATTTATTCAATTTTGACTGATTTTTTGGACTTTTTAGATTGACTTCTCGATGCATGTTCTTAGACATTTTGGAAACCTGTGGTAGAAAAAACCGGTTTCATCTTGAAACTCTTGACATGTAGCCGCTATCACATCAAGAACAGTCCATATTTTTTGAGATATGACCAGGGTCAAGCAAGGGGTGTGGCAGACGATCGCTGGTTACGACCCCCCCCCCCCTGATTGCTGGTTTAATACGACCCCCCTCCTGAACTATACACTTAAGATAGCATTACTTGAAGGCCCTGTCGTACATAATGGGCAACCCACAATGAGCATGTCAATTAACTCCTGTAGACAAAGTTTGAGCAAACTCTGAAGATTTAAGATACTATCCTCCTTAAGTGAAAAGGTCAAATTCCAACATGGTTAACTTTGTTTCAAAGGTGAATTAGCTATCCGTTTTTGCACTCAAGACAAAGCACTACTCCTTCTTTGTCCATCTCAGAAATCCCGCTTTAAAAGACCTCCAAACTGTGGAATCAGAAGCCAACCAAAATCTTATTTTTTCCATTTTTCGCTTTTGATGGCTGTGCTTTCACCAAATATTACTCAGAGCAGAGAAAACGAATCAGGCTCAAATCACTCCTTTGAAAACTAGGAAATCTAGGCTATCGATTCATATAAATACTGTCCGCTAAAATTGTTTTTTGATATAGTTAATGGGGTGCGGCACACCCCCTTAAAAGCTGAGGCGGCCGCAGCTTTCAAGGGAGCGTGCCGCAGCCCATTAACTATATCAAAAAAACATTTTTAGCGGACAGTGTTTAGATGAATCGGTAGCCTAAACCTTGTGGATTCCATAGGACTGTTTGAAGCCTGACTCGTCTTCTTAGCTCTGAGTAATATTTGGTGAAAGCACAACGATCAAAAGCGAAAATGGGAAGAACGAGATTTTGGTTGGCTTCTAATTCCACAGTTTGGGGTTCTTCTGAAGCGGGATTTCTGAGGTGGACAAAGAAGGAATGTGCTTTGTTTTGAGTGCAAAAACGGATAGCTAATTTACCTTTGAAACAAAGTTAACCATGTTGGAATTTGACCATTTCACTTAGGTAGCCTAGTATCTTGAATCTTCAGAATTCGTTCACACTTTGTCTACAGGGGTTATTTGACATGCTAATTATGGATAGGATACGAATATCATGTTATCACTATTATCAGATTACCCAACTACGACTCCCTCCCCTTTGGACTCCTCAATACGACCCCCCAGGTGTGACGTGCCGCACCCCACGCTTGACCCTGGATTTTATATATAAAGCTGAATGTCTGTTCGTACAGTAAGTTTCGGCCCGCATTAGGCGGAAATTGGATTGGCGCGCGTCCGCCTCGCAACAGCTCGCGCCGTTTCGCAGCTACAGTACATCATATCGTGCTGAGAACCGAGGTTTGCGTCTCTCCCTTCTCCTCAGTCTCTGCTTGGCAAAATGCCAGCGCTATGCGCTCGCGAGACTTCCGGCGGTGCGCACGCGCCCCTCCTTATGGGATGTTCCGCCTAATCCGGGGTGAAACCGACTGTATGTTTGTCTGTATGTATGTATGTACGTATGTTCCGAATAGAAAATTCCATTTCAACCGATCCGCAAACTTGGTACGCATACACTTCGGGCCCCGGCGGGTATTATAGGCTACTTTTCGTCCTCGATCGATATCGATCTTATCGATTTTTTGCAAAATTTGAGTTACGGGGCTGGGAGTTGGCACAGGGGGGTAATCGAGCATGCTGATTACAAATATGTTATTGACAGGGCCGGGCGGAGCCGGGTTTGCCAACTAGTGACTTACTAAACAGTAGGGCCTGTAGTAAACCCCTCCCTCCCTCGAGTCGTGACGACTCGCTCGGAGCGCGGCAAATGCTCCGAAAGTGGCCGAATCTTACGGTAGGCCCGGACGCCGCCTACATCGCAGTGTCGATTCGCAAGGCCAGAGTGCGTATAGCGCACATAGTCATAAGCGCAGGATCCCGCAATGACTCTGCGTCTCTACCTTTCATCCATCTCGTACTCGCCCAGCCTACCGTAAGATTCGGGCCACATTCGGAGCAAATTTCAGGCTTGGTAGACCTCCTTTTTCGCTCCGAACTTCAGTCATCGCTTAGGTAGGGGGTCTACTATTACAATACTACGAGAGCCAGATATCCCCAGTCTGGTGGACACTGCCTTTAAGAAGAGCGTTTCGCAGAAACGGACTACAGATTTGAAATCAGCGTTCAAAAGTGCTTTAGCCGATGCATCTCATATTAAACGGCCGCCACTGAAAGTATATGCGATTCATAACCCGCCAACTGAGCGCTGTTGCGTATGACCAAGATAGTTCGTGCATGGGAGAAACAGCAGATGGTAAGAGAAACGAAAGAGCGCTGGATTAGGTAGGTGCCAAACTTATCCAGTTCAACCGATTCACACTGTTCACCCCATTCGCTATAAGTCACTTCAGTGATTTGACCAATAGCGAACGGGTAAACCATATGAATCGGTTGAGCTTGAGAAGTCTGCCACCTACCTTAGATGACGCTGATACGTCCGCAGTCTTTGCATGCTACGAAATCCCTATAAATAATTCCCTAATGTTACTTCCCTTGTGGGTTAGCTATAGTCTAATATGCATGTTTTGACAATCGAAGATATAAGATATCGAAAATGTGGTAGCGTATTCCATGACTCTTGTAGCGAACAGAAAGCAGCTTTTGACAAAAGGTCCATAGTCTTACTACATGCCGATCACTTGTCGAAGATAGGTTGATCTATCTTCAAACAAATCATTGACTGGGATGCGCTGCGTGTGATCGTCCAGCGAACCCCATTGCTTGTTGGTGTTGCAGAACTTTATTTCGAGTTCGTTTCTTTTTCTCTGAGTCGTTGGTCATTGTTGCTCGCACGGCTCTCAGTCGCATAATGTAGCCTAAGTTCTTGCCATTATGAAAATTGAATTTCCATACACCTCTGGCAGTGGCGTACCGAGGGGGGGGGCGCCCCCCCCCCGAGAACGGGTCGCGAAATTTTTGAAAGTTACCTACATGAGTTACAAAAATGTGCAAATGACTTGTTTATTTTTGTAAACAATTAAAATAATTTTTGAAATTTTAAAAGAATTCAAGTTAGCCTTATAAAAATTTTTTTTCGGGGGCGTGGCTCATGTCACGCCCCCTTTTTCCAGATTTTAGGGATTAGGGGCCCGCAAAAATCTTGAGAAGCCCCCCTAAAAATTTTTCGGAGTGCGTGGCTAATGCCACGCACTTCCATTTGAAAAAAATTTTTGCCGCCCCCCCCCCCCCGAGCCGAAATCCTGGGTACGCCACTGACCTCTGGTTATTTTTATCCGTCCAAAGAAAGGAACGAAACGGATGTTTTCTTTCCATTTTTTGTCTTCACTAATCCACTTCTTCGTCAGAATTTCCAATCTTATCCTTCTCAAAGTTTCCATTTATACAGCAAACATTCTGATCTAGGTAGAATAAGGTTTGTATGTTGAGATGCCCTCATCTACTCTTTCTATTGATTATTCGTCGGCGTCTGCAAGTAAACTCAACAAGCTTCTTTTATATATCGAGTTATTTAGTATGGTTGATTCATTACCCATACTTTCATCGATTTTAACGTTTTCCTGCAAACTTGGAGCTACAAGGCTGAGAGTCGAGACATTGGGGAGGGAGTGAGCATGCTGATGCGGGTATAATATCAGATAAAATATACATTACAATCATCGATTTCACGGATTATTTGCACGTTGAGCTGCGTGGCTATGAGTTGGCATAGAGGCTTAGTAAGCATGCTGATTACGAAAAAAAAACGAGGGGGCTCAGGGAGCTGCCACATAGAGTGCCAGGGAGACGGAAATTTTATACAGAAGCGAGACGAGATGGTATTTTAGCATATCATGTTGACAGGAACCGCGAAGCCGATGTCATAGCCAGTTTATCAACAAAAACTTCAGCTTGCTTATATGACACCGTTGCCCTGGAACTGTTTTGCACAAGGTGCTTAATCAAGCACGCCACGTACAACTCCTTAGTGAAGCTTCATGATAACACTTTTGTATTTTACAAGCTTTGTAGCAAAGCTTTAAGTGCGGCATGGCGAAAGGTTCGGCATAGAAATTCAAAGATAAAAGTCGGGCGGGCCAGGGGGGGGGGGGGGGGAATTCACACTCACATGGATTATGAAAATGCGCAAATGACTTGTTACGCCCTCCCCCCCCCCCCCTTCTACATTTTGAAGAGTCTTGGGCCCGCAGAAATTTCATGAAGCATCCCAAATATTTTTCGGAGTTGGCAAACGCCACGCATGTTCATGTGGAAAAAAATTCTTACCGCACTTTACCAAACCTGGGACCGCCACGCTTATAAATATGTGCAAGTGACTTGTTTATACTTGCAAATATAAATTGTTCAAAAATTTTTGAAATTTAGACTAACCGTGCAAAACTTTTTCGGGGCGTGGCAAGGGCCCACAAAATTTTGGGAAGCATCCCAAAAATGCTCCGAAATGCGTGGCTCATGCTACGCACCTTCACTCAAAGAACTTTTCTATCACTCCCCCCCCCCACCGCCACTAGGCCACTGCGGCAAACTAAGTTCAAGCACTATATTGTAAGCCGGCAAACCTCTCATGCTGTTCCAGAAGATGCCGAGTCAGCCTGTTGGATGGTCCTGAACAATAGAAGATTTTGAAAGTGATTACTGCCGGACGAAGGCGCAACTCTAGTAGCACAAACGCGGTTCTATAAGAGGCATTGCGCATGAGGCGCAGAATTCACAATGGTGTAGCTATGTGCGCGTCGCGTTCGCGCCTGAACAACCTACCCTTTGCTTCAACCAGATCGGCTGCTGGAAGGGGGGGGGGTTGCTTCATGAACTAGGAAGCGACCGCTCGCGTCCGCGACACAGCCTGCGTCTCCCTCGCGAACATGCTCTCTGATCATTTTCTAGCCTTAAATAGGCCAGGTAGCCCCGCCTTCCAGCCGCCGATCTTGTTGAAGCAAAGGGTGACATTGCTTGCGTCGCGCGCCAATAGACTATACAGGGTGTCCCAAAAGTATGTATCGAACGTTTGATCGTTAATAACTCTCTTCCCAAGAAGTCTTTTGCCTTGCTTTAGGTACCGTTTTGTAGAGCTGGCTTCAACTTAGATTTGCACTATAGAACGAATCATTCATCTCTCTTCATTACTGTAGGATTACGGTAGAAACTTGAAACATATGGTGTTAATGTGAAAAAAGCTGCCGTTTCAAAATTTTTCAAAAAATCGTGAAAACTTGTGTAATAGGGTTTTTATGGACGCTGAGTTCAATAATTAACTATTCACAAGATTACGAAGCTTTCTAAACGGTGCAATCCCACTTTTTAGGAACATTGAAAAAATGGCCGCTACTTCTTACCTGGCATAACTCTTCAATGAAGCATCATAATAAGTTGGGAACTTTACAGTTATAATCAGCAACTCTAATTAGCCTAGTGTAAAAGTTTTAAGGCTGTTTTGTTTCCTTTCTGGGGCAAAATATGGCCCTTTCATTGCTTAAAACCCTCCTTGAAGTTTCTACCGTAATCCTACAGTAATGAAGAGAAATGAGTGATTCGTTCTATACTGCAAATCTAAGTTTAAGCCAGCTCTACAAAATGGTACCTGAAGCAAGGCAAAAGACTTCTTGGGAAGAGAGTTATTAACGATCAAACGTTCGACACATACTTTTGGGACACCCTGTATATTTCGAACGTGATGAGCACTAAGCAGCTGCAACGAGCCATTATACTCTTTTGTTGTGTTGTTTTTCCACGATGAGCTATGCATGCATAAATTAACAAAAGACTTGCAAAGCCCAATCTTTGATCTTTGTGTGATTACCCAAGATATTCAATGGTGTTGTGGTCATGCGCTTACTGCACTGGAATATGAAACAACAAAGAAGCCGTGATATAAAATGCTCTTTTGATGAGGTTCATAGCTTCAAGCCCTATATTTGACAGCGAGAAATTCGGGTGGAGATCTTTCAAGAATGGTTTCTCTAGTCTGAAAGATTCCTTGCGAATTTTTCGTGGAACACTGTCTTTATTGATTTTTATCGGAGCAAATAACCACAACTGACCTTGGTAGCCGCTAATATGCTGAAGAACGGCGACGGCTATGAAAAATATACTGTTCAGCATTCGGCAGCCAGCCCGTAGAAATTTTACACTTGATGATTGCAGCAGTTCTGAAAGATGAGTGTAAAGACGACTTAGAACTTGAGATTGCAAATAATGTTCGGAATCATAAGCCTCTGCTTTGAACTAACAAGCTATGAAATAGAAGTATTCGAATGCATTTGCATGCATAATGCTGATGCATGACGGAGAATTTTTGAGCTTTCTTTATCCAGTTTGTGGGATGGATCAGAAGCACACTTTTTTCCGAACATGTATGTGGCTGCATATATCTAATTGGATTATTCCGGTTACTTAGGTTATGTAAAGCGAGGATGCATTTGGGGAAAACAATGGTAGGGCAATCAAAGTTTACCACTAACTTATTGGCATTGAAACACTATCTTGTGATTACGAAAACTCAATTGGAGTTTTGTATCTACCATTCAAGGTTTTTGCAACAATTTAGACTTTGGTCCTGATGTAAAAGCAACGAGCCTTTGTTCAACATCCTAGAAGGACCAAACCTTTGAATAAATTTCGGGAGGATCTGAAGAGCTATGCAGTTTCATAAGAAGCCTTACATTACTACTATTTGGTATGAGGATTCTTTGGAGCTTGTCATGAGTGCTGTATTGTAGAAAGTTGTATTGTCCCCCGATATCTGAGGAACTGTTTACAATGGTACAAATTTATAGGGATTAGGGATTCTGCTCTCTCATTTCTTTTCAAAACAATTTGCACTTCACTTTGAGAAACATCAACTTGATTTTTCAAGAGATTGCCAGAAATTCATTTTGGTGCTAGTATCACCAGAAGGAGATTGAGATAGTCGAGTGGCCGTTGTTCATCTCAAGGAGTGTATCAAAACGCTGAAGTCTTAGCCTTGTCAGTTACCCACTTGTCGCACATGTCAAATTCACTACACGTGTTTCCGTTCGTCACCAAAAAAGACTATTACTTTCTACTTATCTCCATCACCAAAAGCTCATAAATCGTCATTGGATGCATTTAGGAGAACATGATGAAGTCATGCCCGCTCAACACTCGCTTTTGATGTTCTTTTTGACAAAATTGTAGGGAGAAAAACAACAGAACAATAAAAAACAATAAAAAATTGGACATACAAAAATTCAAGCTTTCTAGTGATTGCTTCTCCACTATTGGTTTTCTGAAAAAACATTCATTATGCAGAGCTATATACCATCATCATTGGGAGGGAGTTGCCCGGCGGCAAAGCTACGCGAGCGAGAAATGGAGGAGCTCACTTAGCCTCGATTTGCTGGATTTACGCCACTCATTATAGCAATCCAGATCCACTTTTGGAGCTCCAATGAACCGGGGACAATATCCTTATCTTTGTGGCACACTGACAAGATGAGGATATCGATCGAAGTGGAGGAGTTTCCATATGAAATGTACACCATGTACACATAGAGCTTGAAACGCTGATTTCAAATCTGTTTTCCTTATCTGCAAAGCGCTTTTGGGGAGGAGCTGCGGGAATTTTCTTGAGGCAAAAATTCGAGGATTTGATTAAGGCAAGAACAGGTGTAAAGGTTTTTTCGCCGCTTGAAAGGAGTAATAACTAGAATTAGTTTATTAGACTGAAGGCATTAACTGCATAAAGCGCCTTGGTAGTAATCTTGGCCCATTTGTGCTCACAGACTACAACTGTGAATGATTTTATTGTAGCGCGCTTTCAAATTTTTGCTTCGAAAAAATTACCATAACTCCCCTTATAGAAGCATTCTGCAGATAGCGAAAGCAGATTTGGAATCAGAGTTCTACTCTCTATCAGGAATTATACAATACATATGGAAACGCCACTTGAACCAAATATCTTTCCCTTTTAACCCGCCTTTCCGCCCTCTTCAAAAACAAATCGGAAAAGTTTTGAAGTTACCTACATCAAGGTAAGGTTGTGCAAGACTTGTTTACTAGCAAGTGGTTATAATGTTCGTAAGACTTCCAGACTTCAAAGTTAGATATGTTTGTAAAATTTTAAAAATTTAAATTAGCATTTATTAGGTCGATGCAAAAATGATGGCCCATCTTTTTTCAGGGCAGTTTTTTCCATCAGAATTTCTTCTTTGAAATACATGTAGCATATCACTGAGAAGTTGTTTTATGCTCTATCTACTGCATGTTGAAGCGGGCTTCCATCCTCATTTGTTAAAATGTTACTGAGCTTCAAATTACCGCATCCAAATTCAGATTTTAATTGCATTCAATTTTCTGACTAGAATTCAGGCGCGTATAAACGGCGGTTCTTCGGAAACCTAGCCATTGTATGTAATAGATTTTCCATATTATGCATATTCACATGTATTTTCTGAAGTTATCCAGACTGAGATATCGGCGCCTCGACTGGGGTAACCGTTGCGGTCATTTTATGACCCATAAATTTCTTTTGGAGAAGACATTCGCCAAAGCCTTGCTCAATTCTGTAAGCGTAATGGAGGTGCATTCTATAGCAGTTTTTGCAAAAACATCCAGCTGTTCCGTACGCGGAAAACCAGAAAATTCTCTATTTGGGACTTTGAGACATACCCTCGATACATGGAGCGCCGTGATAGAACACAACCTTCATCTAAAAAAAAGTCATCCGAGGCGAAGCCCCAGATTTTGTAATTCTGACTATGTCGGAATGAATGTAATTGAAGCAAATATAAGAAACAATATCTTTAGATTATCTCAGCGAAATTGAGAATTTGCGTTTTTATAGCCATTTTTACGCTAAAAGAAGGTTTCTGTGAAAGTTTCTCTAGAATTCAGGGCAATATTTCTCACTTAATCTCTTGTTTGGCTAAAACTGAGTTTCAGACATTTGGGGAAGTTGTTGGAGTTAAAAAAAAACGAGAAACTGCGCTTAAATCTTGCGCAGCGACTGGCGCGCGAAAATGCTGATCTATCTCGTTAATGAGTGAATTTCAACGCTTATGACGTTGTCATTGTTCCTCGCCGTGACATGACGATCAGAATGATATATAATGTTGCGGGTTTTTGTTGAAATCTGTGACCAGAGCCAAATGCCCCGTCGGCCCTGGTCTGTCTCCGCTGCTCGTCTGCGTCTCCGCGCGCTGCGCGCTGCCTCGCTACCCCAAACGCGGGGCGCGGGGCATTTGACTCTGGTACCCTCTTTTTGTTGTTGTTTCGAAACTGAGCTCTACTTTCAACGTCCAAAGCCACATTCTTTGATGCAAACGAGAAATCCGACAAAAATCTTGTTTTCGAAAATCTCTTGTTCCCCCCCCCCTAGTTAAATTCTTTTCAGGCGGTTTTTCATGCATTCTATAGATCTTGCCTTCGCTCATAATGCAGACAACGACCTAGTGCTTATCTCTTCGATTAAAGCGGAATTTTTTGTGAAAAATCGTAAAATGTGCGTTTTTCTTTACCTTGTTCTGTTTCAGTGCTTTCGCAAAGATTTTTTTCCAGCTTGGATGGTTATTGCTCAGAATAATGAGCCCAACAATATAGACAATGTCCCAGAAAACGGAAACCACAATGCGGGTTAAAAATCTAAAGGACGCACCAAAAACTGGTCGGCTTCGACGCGCATTTCGACTTCGACTTTCTGTGTCTTCAAAACTAATTTTTCTTGTTTACCTTCTCTAATTGATAATCGTTACTTCCGAAACATGATTGGTTTTGGAATAAACACAAAGAAGAACTAGAGCTTTTCCTCGTTTTCCCCCGTGCTGTGGATCACATGGTCTGGAGTGAAAATCCGCAATGCCGCCAAATGAAAGATTTCAAACTTATTGCAGCGTTTTTATCCGATTTTTAAGAGTTTCTTTTGCTTTTATTAATTGTTTTGCATCTTTTTGTTTCTTCTCTGATTTTATATGAACAACCTTCGCTCATTATGAGGGGTAGATAATCAAACAACCTTCACTTTTCGGCCCTATGTTTAGACTATCGAAGGTATGCTTTGAGGCATACCGAAATGTTGAAAAAACTGATAATTTTAAATTTTATTTTTTTCCTTTTCTTTTTTTCTCCAAAAATATTTCATCGTGTTTTGTACCGTTGGCTTGCGACAACAAAATAGACCACTTATCATTCATACTAACAAACTTTGGAAGGAAGTTATGAATTGTCGAAATCAAGGTTTAAATAACCCTTTTTTTTTGTTTTTTCATCCGTAATAATCTGCCCGTTCGGATAGGTACAGATAATTGTGCGCTGTATTGCAAAAGATTTGCTGCTTCTGATGGTCTTTACCGCATTCAGAAATGTGAATTCTTCAAGAAGTTATAGCATGTCAAAATGAGAATGCGCAAAACGGCCTTTATTTTTGCATCAACTTAATAATAAAGGAATGCCGCTTATGGTGCTGGTGCAAGTACGGCATATGCCGCATCTTCTGTATTCGAAGCCAAAATTTGCATATAAAATTTGCTTTCATTATGAAATTAAATCCGCAGATCGATTGATTATTTCCCATATAAGACATTCCTCTGGCTACTTAGCAGTTAGCCACGCCAATTTACTAATGGTCGCGTCCGCGTGCAACGAACACTTCAGTTTCACGCACTTGTCCCGAACAGGATCCGAACCGTACCACGAGCGCTTATAATCGCTCCTTGCGCACTGCCTTGTTCTTTATCTTTGCTTGATGAGCTTCGAGGTGACAATTAATGGCTGCCGAGTGTCTAAAAAATTCACAGATTCTAGTAGCCGTATCTTGTGCACCAACACTCGCGAGCCTTCGAGAAACAGTTGTCGCAGGGATAGATCGCGTGGTCGCCTGGCCCAGAGCCAAACTTTATAGAGAAATAACGCGATGAATTAAATGAAGTATAAACGCTCGCAGATTTTATAAGGCATGGCGCTGGCAATTAGATATTAGTAAGCTGCAAATGCACGGCAAAAGTCGGTTTCAAACGTTTCAAAATACGAAATATAAGATGTTCACAGTAATCAAACATTGAGTAATTAAAAACTAGTTGAAAAATGCAGAAAACTAGCAGTTTATTTTCTTGTGCGTAGTTTAGCGAACCGGATCCGGATCCAGC